CATTAACCTATTAGGCATGCTCATCTACATTGCTAATGAGGTTGGGGGACAGCTGTCAGGGGTGAGGGGAAAACATGATCGTGCAATCCTTGAGTGAGTGATCCCGGCTCCGATTAGCCTCAGCGAAGTTCGCTGAGCCCAAGTGATAAGGCAGGCAGAAATTCCCAAGTTGCCAATAGCTCTGAAAATTATCACACTGTAGGCAAAGGCAAAATTGTGGCTTACGGCACCCGGGCTTCAATCCAGGGACTGCCCAGATTGACAATATTTAAAGCTATGGAAATGTACCCTGCTTGCCTATCAGACCACAGCCGAAATAAGATTATTTTCCCCCTAGCCTGCTCCATTTATGAACATGTCCAGGATGCTGGCATTCTCAGAAAAGGGTAATTTGAGCATAATTTTACAATTTTATGATCTAATCTGGATAATGGAAATAAACAAACATGTGTAGCACTAGGCAGACTAGTGGGTGTAGTGCTTTAGAAGGTCTGAGGTAATCGTACAGAAAACCATGCATGAAAAACAAGTACAAGCAAACCATACACATTGCATATTGTTTCATTGTATCATCTGTGCTACAGCTATAATTTAACAGTCATATAATACATTACTTCGAACTCGGTGGCATTTGCTATTCTAGTGTAGCTCCACTAATTTTTCTAGTGATAAAGAGATTTAAAAAAAAATTGTTAACGCATCATTAACCATGAAGTAAATATTACACGTCTAACACAAATGCTTAAAATATCCACACCAAGCTGAATATTTACAATCAGCAACTTTGGATCCACATCCATCCTTCAATAAGTTCAGTCACTGCTTTGTAAAGCAACCAGATTGTTGTGTGTAGGAATGATCTCTTTGGAAATTAAGTGTTATTGACCTGGGTCAGTACTAATATGACTGTTTGCACATGCACAGGGGATAGGTGTGACTGAGTAACTAGATAATAACCCAAAACAGCAGCTTTTGCCACAATGAGCACACCCACACACCCACACACCCACACACACACACACACAGCATGTTGGGTCAGACAGAAGGAGAAGTTTGTTATTTCTCTCAACCACTGAGCATGTGCCATCTCCAGGGACTAAAATAATTAACACAACTGCACATTTAACACAGTATCACTGGTATTCTTCAATGTTATCCATTAAAAATGTTACCACTTCAAACAACCCAAGTAATTGCTTTCTATATTTTTACTCTCAAACGTGTAGTTGTCTATGCTCAATATTCCCAAATCAAGAAACGCCTGAGTACACCAAACCTAAATCACCAAACTCCCTGCACCAAATCTAATGTCAAAGGTGCAGGGAGAATCCTCTGGCATAGCCTGTTTGACTTAAGCGCACTACTTGTGCTCCCCCTGTTCCCACAGTCTTTGTCCACATTGTAATGAGTGTTGCGTTAATCCTGGGATTTTCCTGGGGGTCACTCACCTCATGGCAATGCCTTGCCACACCAGGTCTAGAGTTTAACCCAACCAGTGCCATGGGGAGGGGCTGGAGGGTATAGCAACAATGACCTGTCTCCCAAGAGATACCTCCATTTACGGCTGGTTTGGAGGTTTCTGATAGACCTGCTAACCCATTTTAATCCTATTAGAGCAAGCCCACAAAGAGTGAATCTGCAGCAGGCAGAATGAAGGGAGAGGACTCCTGATTTCTGTAACGACGTGAACAGGGACAACAGTTTTCCCATCAAAACTCATCTATTAGAGGAGCAGACAGAGGAACGAAAGAAAAAAACAACACAAAAAGCACAGCAACAAGCAGAACCATTGTCCTTGGGCAGACTCAAAGAAGAGGACCACCAGAGGCTAGGCATCTCGAAAGTCAACTGACTGGATATCCATCTTCAGCCATAACGGATGTGTTTCTGATGGGCAAATTTCTTGTAAGGCAAAGCCACAGGAAGTGGTACTGTAGACCCTTGTAGGGTCACCTCACAAAAGCTTGAGAAGGTTGGGAGGCTTCAATGCACTTTTGTTCCATGCTCCGGTTATGGGACACGTGGTGGCCAAGTGTGCTGGTGGTCTGTCCTGTTACCCCATCGCCAATGTTGAAGCTTAAAGTCTCCCATTGTGATGGACGACGAGGGGGGAGTGACAGGGTCCATACAGACAGAAAGTGTTCTTTAGCCAAGCAAGGCAGGATATGACTCTTTAAGGGCCAGAGGGTGTGAATGGACAATGCCACCATGAAAGAAAAGCAGCTCTGAGAAAGGGGCACTGAATGATAATGCACTTTTACACTGAGAGCATCCCAACCAGGCTTTTTTCATACAGCTCCCAGAATTTAGTAGTCATATAACTATCCCTGATTCCTTTCATTCTAATAGCTGAGGAACAATAATCAATGATAACTTGTAGGCTACAGTAATACATAATGTTTTATCTTCATATATCCATCATCATTTTCTTTTTCATTTCATTATCAAAAACGCAAAGCAAGACATGACATTTTAGGTTAAACAAGATATTTCCACACCATCACTATTCAAACACACTACATGAACAAGGACTACAATCAATTTACAGTTGAAACACTGGTACAGCAGGGATGGAATAAATGTGGATTTGCTTGATGGACAGCTTCTTTACAGCATTGTTGTTTATAGGTCTAGCCTTTGCCTCCCCTGGGGCCACTGTCTTTAAAAAAAGCGCACACACACAAACCAGGGATGCTAAACACAGTGTCATGTCATACATTTATGTATGGGCCTGACCTTTTCCATAATGAGTTCACATCATAACCAATGAACTAAAACAAACTCACTCAAACAAAACAAACGACTGAGGTGGGTGACAGAAACCAGGGAATAACATACTGTATGTGTATGTAGATACAGGAAACAGATACAAATGTGAAGGAAGAGGTTACTTTTCAGGAATGCATTGACTATCTGATGAAATTTGTCATATAAGATTCCCAGATTCACAAATATTTTAACTCTGGATCCAACCAGATTGTGTTGGCAGAATTGACACCTAATATCAACTATGACTTATCTGCTTGCATTGTACAGGGCAAGTGTTCTTACCCCTCATATTTACATCCTAATATCCAGACCAAATGGACACAAAGCAGGAGATGAAATCAGAAGACTGCCTAATGCCTCACCCCTGATCAGTTCATGCATAATTGCCTTCTTTCAGTTTGTTAAATCAGGTTGTCACATTTCTGCATCCAAAGAAGTGTTTCATACTAGTAGGACTTGTGCCTTTTTCAGCTCACAGAGGGTGGAACTAAAGATGCCCATCCTTCTGCCCCACTGGCCGAATCTTTTGAAAACTAGCATCTATGGAATGAGGTTGTCACTCAGAGATGGTGTATTATTTTGCGGACACAGCAGATGCAAATCAAATAAAAAACTATGCATTATAATACACTGGTTATTTTGTTTAGTAGTTCGCTGGTGAATGCTGCTGCATTAGGTCAGAGAGTGTACTTGACAGAAAACATGCATACTGAGTGGCTACTTGTGCTGCTTTTCATTTGCACGGTGTATTGATTTTTAGGTGGCTTATTTAATCTAATATTATGTGTGGGTCTCGCACTGCTTGCAGGTTGCCTGTGTGGGCTGGATATATAGGGGACTTGATGATAATTGCACTGGTGGAAACAAACCCAGGTAGCCGATATGACAACTTTGAATGCTCCCTTCATTCAGAGTACAAAGATACAAACTGACAAATAAGTAGACAAGTGTCTTTTTTTTTTTTTTAAACAAACAATGCTGTTCTATGGGAATAGGAAATGTGACAGTTCTAATTTGTGCAAGTTTATATATGCGCCCATTGTGTTCCAGGTTAAACCTGTTTGTTGGTATAGACTGTTCTCTTCCTGGTCCATATGAGATGTTACATTGAAATGTCAGTGACTAAATAAGATATCAAATCCTCCACAGATCTCAAACAATCTTGACCAATGTCATTATTGTAATGCATTCACTCATCGTGTTGTTTAAAATGGCAAATACATCCTCTATAATAAAGCGATGGTTATCACTGAAGATGCATAAAAAATACATGAGCCATGCCTACAGACATGCCAAATCATATTACTGTCATGGTCACACTTTCTTGTCTCCTGATAGAGCAAGATTAAGCTGTCAGAGACAGCGAAATGATAAGATGCTGTTTGGTTTACAAATGAAGAGTAATTAGGGGCACTGGCAGCTGTATACAGTCCCATACATTCCTCCATTTCTATAGGACAGCGTCTCAGCTCAAGCCTGGATTTAACATTAGCAATCTTGCCAGCAGATAACTCAGGTGTTTAGAGTTCAGTCATTTACCATGTTTAGACTCTCTCTCTCTCTCTCTCTCTCTCTCTCTCTCTTACAGTATTCTTTCATTTCACTTTTTCTAAAGTTGCTTATGGTTTAGAGCGAGGAATGATGGTGATGGCTGTGGTCCTAATGGGGATTAATTTTGAGAGACATATGTAAACATTAATGAGCTTAACGAAGAGACAGCAAGCAATATTTATAAAAAATGACAAGCAGCTCTTAGCAGGCTTAGTAGGTTCCTGGTAAGCATAGGAAAATGTTGATGGAAAAACGTCGTATCTAAACCCCATACAAAATTTGACTAATTCTACCAAACATCAATTACACAAGACAAGAAACCTTGACTAAACATATGAGCATGCATATATATGGGGGCACGATGGCTTGGTGGTTAACACATTTAGCTCACACCTCTCGGGTTGGGAATTTGAGTCATGTTCTCTCCGCACTTCTGGGGTTTCTTCAGGGTACTCCAGTCTCCTCCCACAGTCCAAAGACATGTGTTGTGAGCTGATTGGCATCTCTAAATTGTCCGTGGTGTGTGAATGGATGTGTGAGTGAGTGTGTGATTGTGCACTGCGATGGGCCTGCACCCCATCTAGAGTGTCCACCGCCTTGTGACCCGAGTCACCTGGGATAGGCTCCAGGCTCCACGTGACCCTGTGTAGGATAGGTGGTACAGAAAATATGTATTTGTTGGCAGTGATAGCTCAGTGGTTAAGGCATTGGAGTTCTGCTTGAAAGATCATGAGTTCAAATCCCAGCACCACCAAGCTGCCACTGTTTGGCCTGTGAGCAAGGCCCTTAACCATCAACTGCTCAGTTGTATAAATGAGATATATACAAGTTGCTCTGGATAAGAGTGTCTGCCAAATGTAAATGTTCTAGGATGTATTAGGTATATTATAATGTGGAGTAACCCACAGTAACTAGTAAGCTATTCACTAAAAATCATTTGCATGCATCTTTGTGAGTAAAACAATTAATTGTGTTGATAACACTCCTTACAAAAACAATTGATGGGTACTAATTAAAAAATAGCTATGTTGGTGAACAAGCGTGAATTTATGCATGGTTTACGAAGCCTTTCTTGGCATTTATTATTTGCATTTGCAAAGTAATTCCAACTTCCAAAAATTCAAATAGCAGCACTTGTTTTGATCAACAACAAGCACCTCTTGGTCATGTGTTTTAACCTCTATTAGATGGGATTACGAGGCTGCCAGCATGCTGGCATTTGGTAAGTGTCACGGTGACTGCACTTGGTGGCGGAATGCTGCGTTGTCAGTGGTGCGCTTTATCACCAGGCTTTTCTCCTTTGCAGAGTGTAGACTAATAAGCCTAGAAATTACAATTGCCTCGCTGCTGAATCCCAGATAGCTGCAAATAATGATATCAGTGCCCTGCTAATCTCCTCAGCTCGCCGCTTGGCATCAGCCTATTGAGTCACCTGTCATACTCATGTCTGATGAGGTGAACTTAATCTCACTGTCTGTAATGACAATGGGGGCCATTTGAATGTTGAGAATGATATTTGTCAAAGTTTCCTCTGTTTTTCCCCCCTTTGTCTTTTGCCGACAAAGAGTCCTGACAAAATGTGTGAAACTCAAGATTAAATGAAGACAGTAAAGATTAATCATATGTGCTTGCTTTTCTCATCAATTCAAAAGATTGGTATAAATGTAGTTATATTTTTTAGTATTTCAAAGCTGGGGATAATTGTAAGAATCAATTTCTTTTAGTATGATTGCACATTTATTCATGATTAAATGCCTTTCATTGACACCAGTTCTATGTTCTAGGCATATTACACAATGCTTTACATATTTTCTGAAAGTCTATTGTAATTGGCATTGACCTATGCTTCCTGTACACAGCAAAATTTGCTTCTTTTAACTTACCATGTATAGAACTTGTTAATAGGTTATTAATAACAGGTTAATTACTGTGTTTTGTGTAGGGTACAACATGACAGCATTACTAAGTTATTGGTTAAACAATGTCAGATAATATCCTAGAGATAGATACTGCCTTTATATTATTTACATTATTATAATATAATAACATTTAGCTTTAAGAGTCTCTGCCTCAGAAAATAACAGAAACATGATTAGCTCCTCCAAAGAACATCACCAAAAAATAGAAATAGTTTCAAACAACAGTTATTTTTATAAAGCAATTCAAGGTCAGTGGCAGAAAACTAAGTACACTGCTCTCCCCCTTTACATTGTATGCTTCATCTACATTGAGTGGTGGGCAGAAATAGATGTACCTAAGAAGAACTGACAGATGTACAGTGCAAATAACACTAAATGTTCTGGAGAGCAGCATGCAAGAACAGTCTTTTAGTTGACAGGGAAGCAGTTATAATTCCTGAACTATCTATCTCTACAACAATGGAAACCATTTCAGATGTGCTGTGGAACATGAGAAATAGCTTAAATTTGTTCTAGAGATACATGAAAGGAACTAAAAAGAGATGTAAAATTGTACAAACCTGATTGAACATTATGACTGAAGCCTCTGGGGGTCTATCAAAAAAGACAAATAATTGAAATCGCTGTTCGACATATTCATATGCACTAGCATCTATAAACACTCACAGTCATGTTGATCACATTCATAGTATTTTGACCAATTATCTTAATATAGACAATAGGGATGGTTATCAGGAGGGTAATGTGGTACATGCGGTCATGCAGTGCAACATAAAATGAGCAATATGGGTTTTTAGTTACTACCATTCACCATGTTTCATATTTTCCCATTAGTGTCCTTCTGAGAACTGAATATCCTGTTATACATAGAAATCCCATCTAATCATAGTGCTGTTTTCTGAAGGAACTGTGCTCTTTGCTACATCATACTCCCAGCCCACCCCATCCCATCACTCATCGATCAGTCTTACAGAAAACTGTCATTAGATAAGTGACTGCTTCCCTCCGCTGTCAGATTACCATTGACAGGACAATCAGTGCTGCCTTACTAATGTCAGCTCTGACAAAGAATCATTTAGGTCCAGCATGTACTGCACCGTGCCATCCTCTGCTTCACCCTGTCACTAAGTCGACACACGGGGGCTGTTAGGACGTGTAAGAGGGAGAAAAAAAATCCTTCCACTGAACACCTAAGAGGATGGACCTACCCTATATACTAAAGCTAGCTTCATAATCAGCTTAGTACAGTTAAGATGAACATGTTTATTATTATTAAACTTTCACTGTCAATATAATATGACAACACAGAATAAAGAGAGGCTCTGATCATCAGGTGCATGTGGTAACACAAGCAGTTTATCTTTAATGCACATTAACGTTTGCGTTAAATCTTACAATAAAGTGGAGAGACAGCAGATCCAGCACATAATGGGATTTTATGTTGATGTTTTGGCTGTGAGACTGGCCATGCTAATGAATCTTGCTCTGTATTCACATAGAGGTAAACTGGTATATATATAAAAAAAGAAAAAAAGAAAAAAAATAGATGTCACGGGGAAATGCAGGCTGTGCACGTTTCCACTCCAGCATGAATTAGCCAAAGGACAGGAAGGTCAAAGTGTTGCCATTATCAACACAAATCCTTCAGCTGACTGCCTGTTTAAATGTCTGACTGTGGGCGCTCTCTGCATTTTTAAAAAATAATAGTAATATCTTTCCCTTGCAGGGAATGTTGTAGCAACCTAAATGATATATCTAGTCACAGTAAATATATAATCGTTGAAATATCTACAATAAAGATCATGTACTAAATAACACACGTGAAAATGCCCTCGTTGAAACGCATTAGATGTAAGGGAATATGTTGAATATAAGCTCCTGCTACAGAACAACAACTGCTATGGAGAAGCATTACATTTAAACTGCACACAGAGCCTCCCAAACCATGCATAATAATTAGGACTAAACAGAGCGCCTGTTCTCTGTGTTCAATATTTCCCCAAAATGACTGTCTGACTTTTTTTTATGCTGTAATTTGAAATCTGTTTGGCTTGCCTGAAGAGGAATATTATTTCTGTGTGAGAGACACAGTCGCGCTAATGAGCGTGGTTAAGAACATCATTATATTTTAAGTATCATTCTGCTGTTCACAGCAAGGATGGTAAGAAATCGCTGTAATAATATGGTTCTGTATATCACGTACAAAGGGACATCTGAGGCTGATGCTATAATGCAGGGGGAATAATTAGCCTGACATTTACGCTCGGCATTCCAGAAAAGGAAGAAATTGCAATAAACTATATTAATTAGAAGTAATTCAGTTGTACTTCAGTTGAAGTTTCTGCCATGCTGATATTTGGTTTATTTGCATAGATGTCTTGTGCAGAAGTATCTTCTATGTGGTGTATGTTAAGTGCTTTTGAAATGGCAAGCTTTCCAAGCAGCAACACTATGTCTGATGAAAGGGCGTGAAATCCAATGTGGAAATCGATTTCACAATCCCTTCTTTTCGCTCCACCAATAGAGTGGCACTATGTCAGTGCTACTGTACTCTGTGCATGTCTGTACATTTAATACACTCTGGATGAAGGACGTAGCAATTTCTGCTCCTGTTGTTAAGTCCGGCAAATTAATGCATGTTTGTGCTTGGATGAGTGGCACAGACACAGGAATATTCAATTGCTTTGAAATTGATTGGACTGTTGATATAATGTAGTGGCACTACAGTTGCATGTCTGGAGTGCGGGCTTGAATTTGCCTTGTGGCTACAGCTTAGACAATGGCTCCCAATATTCCCAGATGGAAAAAAAAAGAAAAAAAGAAAGCAAAGCATGACATTTTGGGTTGTATATGCCATATAATTAGCATGCTAAGCAGCGCTAATGACAAATAAAGAGATAAAGCCCTGAGCTCTTCTTGCTGTGATTGTCATCTGAAGCACTCTTGTTAGGACTCGTGATGTATTTGTTTGTGTCTTTCTTCCGTCAATTACAGTTTGCACTTTGTCACCCGGTTTCATTGTTGTTATGAGCTGGCACATCTCGCGCTCTGTACATGCGTCTATTGAATATAAATGGAAGCTCACTGTCTGCTTATGACAAAAGGGCCACAGAATAGGAAGTGACAGACAGCGAGAGAGGCAGAGAAAGGAAAAGCTGCTGTGTGGAGCTCTGTCTCTGCCATCTGCACAGACGGGCAAAACAGGATGCAAACATGGGGGACATTAAAAGGCTTTTTCCCCCCTTCTGATTAATGGTGGTGATACATGTCAAGCCGTTTAACCATATTTAACAAAACTGTAGCAGTATGCAGCTGTTGCATTCTCTCGCCTAAAAACGGCCAGAGGAGAAGAGGGGGAGAGCGAGAGTGCAGCAGGTGGTGAGAAACAGGAAAGAGAGAATACAGCATGGCTATGATCAAATACGGCACGTCTACTATTCTCCAGCGTGGAAATATAGGATAAAGGGATTTCTAACTTAATGATACGTATGAAACAGCAAGGTGTGAGACTAGAATTTTATTTAGCTCTTATCATTAGCAGTTTACATCTTTAAGCCAAATACATCTGTCAGCTGTTTTTCATCTAAAACGAATAAATACAGAAAGAACACCCAAAGATGACCAACACAGTCAATTAAAAAGCTTTACTTAATAGAGCTTTGAAGATGAGCCACAACAGCACTCTCTTAGTCATTGGCATAGCAGGGAGTTTATTTTATTTATTTATTTATTTTTTTGAAACTCGAGCCAAGTAAATAAGCAGCAAAACATGGGGGAGGCACAAAACATGGCCTATCCCAACATCCCTAGACACCCATTATGTGATATGCAAAAT